TTGGTATTTACCCACAAGAAAAAAGAGCCACAATCCAAGAAGATATATGCACACCAATGTTCATAGCAGCACTATTTACAATAGCAAAAAGATGGAGACAACCAAAGTGCCCATCAACTGAAGAATGGATAAACAAACTGTTGTTGGTTCTTAATCCAAAGAATACCAGTTAGCATTCTTTGTCTGGTCATTACAAATTCCTTTAATTCCCACTTATCAGGAAACTAAATTCACCATCGAATTTCAGAGACAGTGTGGATGGGCATAGATGACTCTTGGTTGGTGATTTTTTTCTTTCAGAGTTCTGTATATGTCATTCCATTGCCTGCTTGCCTGCGTGGCTTCTGTTGAGAGATCGGAGCTTAGTCGTATTGATTCTCCTTTGTAGGTAACTTTTTGTTTTTCTTGAGCTGCTCTCAGGATTCTTTGGTTTTGGAGACTTTGATTATGATATATCTTGGTGACTTTCTTCTGGGATCTATCCTGTTTGGAGTTCATTCAATTTCTTAAATACTCATCTTCTTGTCTTTCATTATGTTAGGGAAGCTTTCTTCCAACAACTCTTGGACAACTTTCTCTGTACTTTTTATGGTCTCTTCTTATGCTAGAATTCTGATCACCAGTAAGTCATTCCTCTTCCTGGTGTCCCACATAACTCTTAGGCTTTCCTTAGATTTTTTCATTCTTTTTCATGATTGTTTTTCTAGCATACTAGTATTGAGAGATTATTTTCAAGCTCACTAATTTGGGCTTCCATTGCTTCAAATCTACTCCTTTGCCCTTTCAATGTATTCCATTGTATTAATCTTCTAGGTTTCTAATTGTAGATTTTACATTGTTTCAAAAAAATGCTCTTGTTTTGTCTCTTTTTGTTCTTGTAGTGTTTTCTTGAATTCTTCTGAAGTTTTTTTCTGTGTTCTTGCTTTTTTCAGTCTTCCTATGAATCCTTTGAAGACACCTAAATATCATTCTTTTGAATTCTTTTTCAGTTCCATTACCTTTTCTTCCTCAGAAATGTTTTTTGGATCTGCATCTTGGTTATTGGTTTGAGTCATTCTCTCTAGTTTCCTCATGTGAGCTAAAATTGTCTATTAAAATAGGACAACCCCCCCCAGGACATTGTGGGGTTGTCCTATTTGTATTGAATTCATGATTGTATGTTGGTATGTTCTTAGGCTCTCACCAGCTATTCCCAGTGGGAGGAGTTAGAGAATGGAAGTGTGTACACCATCCTCATTAGTCGTTCATTTAGGGTGTGTTTGGCTGGTGCTGGATGCTGTCTCTGATTGATCAGGTGATATAGAAGCTGATACTGGCTCTTGCCCAGTGGGTGGAGTGGTAGAGGGTAGGGTTGTGGCTATGCTGTATGAACATGGTTGCATCTCCTGTTGTACAGGAAAGAGAAAACCCATGACACACACATATACACACAGGAAAAAAGGAGAATAAACAAAAAAGGAACTAACAAAGAAAAAAGAAAATAATAAAGAGAAAAAAATAGGCAGCAACCAGAAAAAAAGAATATAATACTTATAAGGATAAAAGAGGAACAAGGAAATGGAACTATAGAAGACAGAAACAAGAGAGAAAATAAAAAAGAAGAAATAAAAAATTTTTTAAGAATAATGAAAACAGAGAAGAGGGGCAAGAAAATGGAGCTATAGAACAGAAAAATAAGAGAGGAAATAAAATGAAGAAATTTTAAAAACACTTACAAAACCCAGGGGGGAGGGAAGGTAAAAAGAGAGAGTAGTAAAGAAAGATCAAAGGGGGAAAAAAGAACTAGAGGGGAAATGAGAAACAGAAGAAAAGAAGGGGCAAAAAACACCCCAGCAGAGATAGAAAGGATAAAATTTAAGGGAATGGAAAGAGAAGAAAGAGGAAAAGGAATAAACAAACAGAAACAATGAAACAAGAAAAGGAAAACACCAAACCCCAAAACAAAAACAAAAAATTGGTGCAGCAATTGAACCCAGAGGAGAAAACTATATGGGAGGCAAGGAACTCAATGTGATACACGTGTGGGAGGGATGTGGGAGGAGCAGAGTTCCTGGCTCCTATAGGCACCAGGGTGATCAAGGTTCCAGGCACTCAATCGGGAAGCAGTTGGTGGAGGCCATTGATGGAGCTGGTTTCAGTGTCTGTTAGGATCACAGGGTAGCTAGGGTAGGGTGACTGGTTAAATGCTGGTCTGGCGGGTCTTTGGGTTCTGTAGTTCTGGAGCCAAGCCCACCTGAACCCAGGCACCAAAGCGTAGCAGCTGATCCCTACTTCATACTGGCCCCACCATGTTGGGAGCAGCTGAGCCGAAGTCCCCTGACTTGGGGGTAGTTTAGCTGAAGGATTGCAACTGAACAGTTGTGGTCCAGAAACTCCAGCTGTTTCCAAGTCAAAGTCTCCCCGCCTCCACTTAGGAAGTTGCAGGGCTGCCTCACAGGGAACTTGCAAGGTCTTTCCTTGTATTTAGCTATGTCCTTGGGCCTCAGCCTGCACAACATTCTAGCCACCCTATCTCTGTTTCCCTAGCAACTACATTTTTCTGATAAGGTCCCGCTTACTGCATCCAGCAAAACACCAGATGCTATTCTTTTCCCTGCCCCCAACCACCTCCCCTTGAGCTGTGTATAAAATAAACTCACTGCCTAGGTCTGTGTCACAGTATCTCCATCAGAGTGTTGTGGCCCACCTGGTCCCAACTTTGCTATATTTCAAATGTGTCTTGTGTCTTTTAGTTCTCATCTCCCATCGCCCCTTGTTGTTGTTGTTAAATGCCGTGGAGTCGGTTCCCACTCATAGTGACCCTGCATAGGGTGTCCCTGAGGTTAGCAGCCCCATCAGTAACCACTAAGCTACCAGAGCTCCTTCCCGCCGCCCCCTACTTGGATTTAATCCCTCTGTGCCCATCTTGGAGATAAGCCAATTGTCGGACTCAGCAGTTGGCCCTAGTGTTGGGAATTGCCGGAGAGCAAGCAGGGTCTGAGCTGGAGATTAATGAAGGTGGGCGCTGGCTACACCTCTGGTCACCAGGGGAGCATGGGGAAAAAGAAGAAATCCCACCTTTCTGGTCACCTGTGTGAATCTGCAACAGAAGTTGCCAAAACTGTTCACAAGACAGTGGTGCCATGTCTGGCTGGCTGTTTACCAGTCACCCTCTCTCACCATCCCTGCTCAGCTTCTCCTCCCAACAAATACTCAGTCCACTTCTCTAACCTTTCATCTGAAGTTCAGGGTTCCAAGATTTTCAACTGTGCCTGTTTCATTTGCTTTCTTGAATCTTTTTTGTAGAGGGTCTGTGCTAGTGCATCTGCCTAGCCCGGAAGTTCTTCTGCTCATTGTTTTCATTAGATATCTACCCTTTTTTATCTATCTGTGCTTATTGGTGGTTGTGTGCTTTCAGATTATTTATCTTTTTTTGTTGTTATGTGCCCTGGAGTCGGTTTCGACTCAGTGACCCTGTACAGGGTTCCGAGGCTGTAAATCTTTTTATGGGAGCAGACAGCCTCATTTTTCTCCCTCGGAACAGCTGGTAGTTTCGAACTGCTGTCCTTGAGGTTCGCAGCCGGATTCATAACCACTACGCTACCAGAGGTCTTGACTGGGCTGTAGTAGTTATGAAAACTTCTTGTGGATATGTATTTAAAAACATGGGGGAGGGGGGGATTCACACTGTATCAAGTGAAAAAAAACTAGGATCCCGAAATTATGTGGGCTTCTGGTTTGTTTAGAAGATTGTATGTATCTTATTCAGTGGAAGTGAAAAAAGATTTGTGAAATGAATATGATAAAAGCCCAACCAGCCCAAACCCGCTAGAAACAAGCGCTTAGTCTAACAAAATCAGATGAATCAATTCCAGGTCCTGGGAATGCTGCTCAGCGAGGGGCGAGTTTTTTGCAAGGTTTGGATTCCAGCTGAATGATTTTGAGGAGGGACGCAAAGATTCACTTTGGATTGAATGCGGGTTTTCCAAAGAGGAATTAGGTAAAGAGGAGATTAACTAGGTTTTGCGGGGGGTCAAGAAGTGCCCCAGTAGTGAATGAAAACAGCCAAACCAGTCTGGAGCATCAATGGCTGCTTTTTTCTTTTCAGGCCTGAGGAGGTTTTGACCTTTCAAATAAATTTGGCCTACGTTTAACTTTTGAAATTAGATTTAAAAATAAATAAATAAATAAAAGTACTTTTTCTTTTTAACCCTGCAAAACAACTCTAGCTTTATAAGGCTCCAGTTTTATAAGAATCTGAGACTCCCTAGCAGCAGAACTCCAGAGACTACACTGCTAAAGTCGTCAGCCTGGAGGAAACATAAGATCGGATGTTGATTGTTTTGTCATAGTAACGGACGGAAAATCCGGAAGTTACGCCAGAGGAAGAGGAAGTGAAGAGGACCGGGGACCCACGTGGGTTCTGCGCGTGTCTCTGAGTCCCTGGAAGCCGGTTCTTTAAGCCTTCTTTTGGCGACCAGTGAGTCGACATGGGTCGCTCGGGGAAGTTGCCCTCTGGTGTCTCGGCCAAGTTGAAGCGCTGGAAGAAAGGTCATAGCAGCGACAGCAACCCTGCCATTTGCCGCCATCGCCAAGCAGCCCGCAGCCGCTTCTTCAGTTGTCCCTCAGGTAGCAGGGTCGAGGCCCTGGCGTTCGGTGGCGGAGTTCCGGACCGGCCTGAGTCCCGATGGGATTTGGGTATTCTGGAAGGGTCGAGGTTCAGTCACTGAAGCTTTTACCTCCTAAAATCTCGAGTCTGGAGCCAGCTGTAAAGGCCCACCATTCCCATTTAGGAGATAAGGAACCCGAGCTGGGGGATTATTTGTCTAGGATACTACTACAGATGTCAGAGTTGGAAGTCATGGGCGCAGTTAACTCCAGGTGGCACTTTGCAAAGTGCTTTCACCTTCATTTCTTTCCCAGGCGCTAAGTGCACCTGGTGTTTATGCTGTCTGCTGTCGGGGCGAGAAAGAAAGTTTTCCTTGAGAGTACCCTTTCTTTCTGGTTTTGTAAGTTTTAGGCTCAAAGTGGGCTGATGAGCGACTCGGATTTGGGGTCTGGACCCTGCTAGTTTGTTTTGCAGGGTGGGTCTCTTGGCTAGAGAGGGAGGTTGGGGTAGATGTGGGAGATCACCAAGTGCTTCTGGCCCGCAGGAAAGAGCAACTTGACAGTTGACGCTGTGAAGCTGCATAATGAACTGCAGTCAGGGTCCCTTCGCGTGGCCAAAAGTGAAGCCCCTGTGGTGGCCATGGAAGAAGAGGTGGAGCTAGCTGTCACTGAAAAGTCCTCCTGCACCTTCCTAAGCGGCCTCTCCGACTGCACAAACGTCACCTTCAGCAAAGTACAGCGCTTCTGGGAGTCCAATTCCGCTGCCCACAAGGAGGTAGGGGCCAAGGGGCTGGAGTTGGCAAGCAGGCTGACTCATGCTTTTGGTCTTCCTCCAGCTCTGGCTGGACTGCTGTCGAGTGACAGCAGCTGATATTCCTGGATGATGTGTCATCTGTCCTTCTCTTTATGTGCTCCACTTATTCGCTCTCCTAGGAAAGGTACGGGGAGGGCTGTGGGTCAACATTTTAAGTGCATGACTGGTTACAGAAAGGTCAGTGGTTCAGAAAGTGCTGTAGGAGAAAGACTGGCCCTTCTGCACTCTTAAAAGATAACAACCAAGGCAATCCTATGGGAGTTGTATAGTCTGTTGTGTAGGCTCACTGTGCGTCAAATGACCTCAGGGCACACAGCAACAAGAACAAGGCTAGGCCCACTTTCTGTTCTTTATAAGGACATCTCCTTGAGTGTTGAAATAGCTTCCAAGCTGTTTTTATTATATGATAAATAATGCTAGAAAAGTCTCAACAGGACTTTTTACTTAGAATATTTTAAAGACATATTTCTTGAGCAATACTGTGTAACTGGTTAGAAATAATGTCTAGCAAGCACAAAATTATATATTTTCTGTTAGAATTTCTAAATAGTACCAAAGAGATGAAAATAAAATGGGAAGATAGTTCTCCGTGTTTGACTCCTTAGCAGAAATGACTGTGAAAACGTTGTGTGCCCTCCTAGATTGTTTTTAAGTGCCATCAAGTGGATTCAACTCATAGCGACCCTGTATAGGGTTTCTGTGTTGATCCGACAGCGCCACACCAGGAGTCCCCCTCCTAGATTAGTGCTGTCTAATAGAAATGTAGTGTGACTCACATAAGTCATTTGCCATTTTCTAGTATCCACTTTGGTGTCCTAGTTTGGCACTGTGGGATAATACACTGGACTGCAAGATCAGTTTGAATTGCAAGATTGGCGGTTCAAATTCACCAGTGGCTCCTTGGAAACCTGATACAGGGTCACTGCGAGTTGAATGGACTCAGCAGCACTTAACAGCAACAGTATCCACATTAAAAGAAAAAAAAAATCAAACTTGTGAAACTGATTTAATGTTTCATTGAATTATATACTAAACTGTACTAAAAATGGAGTCGTGGTGTGGCACTATAGGATAAGCATTATACTGCTAACCACAAGGTCAGAGGTTCAAACCTACCAGCTGTTCCTTGAAAACCCTATACAGGGTTGCTATGAGTCGCACCCAACTCGATGGCACTTAATGGCAACATACTAAAATTCTTAATCCAACATATAATCAATATTACAAGATTGGTAATATTTTGTTGTTAAGTACCATGGAGTTGGTTCCGACTCATAATGACCCTTCACAGGGTTTCTGAGGCTGTAAATCTTTACGGGAACAGAAATCCTCATCTTTCTCCTGTGGAACAGCTGGTAGTTTCATTAGTAACTACTGTGCTACCAGAATCATTTTTATTGCACTGTGCTAAGTCTTCAAAGCCCAGCGTATATTTATGTTGCTGTTGTTAAGTGCTGTCAAGTCAGTTCCAACCCATAGCAACCCTGTATAGGGTTTCTGAGGAATGGCTGGTGAGCTTGCACCACGGACTTTGTGATTCAGACGACTTTGTAGTAGTCAAGCACGTTAACCCACATTGCCACATCAGGAATGCGCTGTATATTTATAGGATAGCTCTATTTGGATGCTTACATTCTTATCAGATATTGTTGTTGTTATGTGCTGTTGAGTCTATTCTGACTCAAGGGGCTGGTGAGTTTGAACCACTGACCTTGTGTTTGAGTGCTGTATCCTGTACCAGGATTCCTTATTGGACATACTTGATTTATATTTAGATTAGAATTAATAAAAGTTGCAATTGAAAAAAGTAGATTCACATACCCATGTTGTGCCAAATATGTTTTATAATAAGGAAACCAAGTATTCATTTAAAATTGGATTCATTTTAAAATTTAAATTAATTAAAAATTTTAAAATATTCAATTCCTCAGTCATATAAAACAAAGCAAAAATACCACTGCCACCAAGTTGATTCTGATTCATAGAAGAGAGATTATAAATCTTTACGGGAACAGACAAGGCTCATCTTTCTCCTGCGGAGCCTCTGGTGGGTTTGAACCGCTGACCTTATGGTCAGCAGTCCAGTACTTAAACTATAGCACCACTAGGGCTCCCTAGTCACCACATTCCAGGTGCTCAGTAGGTCTTTATTAGTAGCTCTGTTCCAGACATTTTGGGATTTTTTTATCCACACTGTATTACTGAGATACATTTTATGGATGCTGTTCTTCAACTTTTTGGTATTTCCTAGTTAATATATATATAGTTATTCCTCAGTTGTTTTAATGGTTGCATAGAATTTGAATGATTCATTGTTTATTATATAATAAAAATCCTTTAAGGAGTCCTGGTGCCGGAGTGGTTAGACACTCACTGCTAACCAAAACGTGGGAGGTACCAGCCCATCAGCCATACTATGCAGGAGACAGATGTTGCCGTTTGCCTCTATAAAGACTGTTGACCTTATGGTTACGTGCTGCTGAATGGGTTCTGACTCACAGTGACAGCGACCCTATGTAGGCTTCCCAAGGAGCTGCTGGTGGGTTTGAACTGCCGACCTTGTGATTAGCAGCTCAGTGCTCATCGTACATACAGCACCATACCAGGACAGCCTTGGAAGCCCTATGACAGTTCTACTTTATCTGTCTGGTTGCTCTTAGTTATAATAAACTTTGTAGCAATGGGCAGCGGTAGTGAGGTTGGCCCAGGATCGAACATTGTTTCATTCTGCTGTGCATAGGGTCGCTATGAGTCGGTTCCGACTCGATGGCACCTGACAACAACAACAACAAGCAATGGGTTTGGTGGTTTGTAGTAATATTTTATTAATTACCTGTTAATGGCCACTTGGTTTTTCCAATTTTGTAGTGAATAAGCCATGTGTATAAATACTTGCATCCTTATGTAGGTATTTCTGTAAGAGAGTTGTAGAGGTGGAGCTTTCATATGTGTTCTGAGTCTCTGTTTGCTAAGCCCTTTGGTGTGTACTCCTGGCTCTGAATGCTGTTCATCCTGTCTGTCTCTGAGCTTTCTTGGGAGGTTAATTGGTGAAGTTGTGGGGTGAGATTGGGTCTGGGAGCTGTCACAGGTGTCTTTTTCCCATATGTAGATCTGTGCTGTCCTGGCTGCCGTCACCGAGGTGATCCGCTCCCAGGGAGGGAAGGAAACAGAGACTGAGTACTTTGCTGCACTGGTGAGTGGGGGCCACTTGGGATTGATTGTTCAAAGAGGCAGGTGATGCCAGCTGTAGAGAGAAGACAAAATTGGAGGATGCTCCTAGCATGTGGGGATGTGGGAAGACACCCCTGAACAGCTCAAGGCTCATCAGGCATTCTCAAGTGGCTTGCGAGGGTCTGTAGTATTTACTACAGTATTTTTCTTAAGAAAAACAAAAAAACAAATCCACTGCTGTGTTTTCTCTTTCTTGCCCAATGAAACAGAATTCGATCCTTTAGAAAAGTTGTTTTAAAGTGTGCTCCAAGGATCTCTGGTGATCCCCAGAATCCTTTTAGGGAGAAGGTTGATGAGGACATGATCCTTTGTGTGATAATACTAGAACATCATTTACTTTCTCATTAGGGTTTTATCCTTGCAGAAAGCCTAACACATTTATGATTTGGCCCTTTACAGAAAAAGTTTGCCAGCTTCTGCTTTAGAATAACAAAATTAATTAGATAGCAACACAAGGCGCTTATCATGAGCCAGGTGTTCCGTGTTCCATGGGAATGTCAGATTGAAGAGGAATGGCATCGCATTGATAGTCAAAAGGAGATTCAAGATCTGTCTTTTGAAATGCTGTCTGTAATAGGATAATGCTCAAATCCCTTTAAGGAGGACCAGTTAATATCATTATTATTCAGATGTATACACCAACAACTAAAGCCAGTGAAATTGAGGGATTCTAGCAATGTCTTTAGTTCTGAAATTGATCACATTTGTAATCAAGATGCATTGCTAATTACTGGTGATTGGAATGCAAAAGTTGAAAACAGAGAAAGGATCAGTAGTTGAAAAATATGGCCTTGATAACAAAAGATGCATACATGATAGAATTTTACAAGACCAAAAACTTCTCATTGCAATTATCCTTTTTCCAACAACATAAAAGGCAACTGTAAACCAGTTAAAAGAATTGGTTGATGTTTAACCATTTTGAGAAATAGCATATAATCACGAACTAATGGTACTAAAGGTAGAAGTCCAAGCTGCACTGAAGGCATTAGCAACAAATAAGGCTCCAGGAATTGACAGAATACAAATTGAAATCTTTCAACAAATGGATGCAGCACTGGAGGCACTCACTCATCTGTGCCAAGAAATTTGGAAGACAGCTACCTGGCCAACTGATTGGAAGAGATCCATATGTATGCCTATTCAAAAGAAAAGTAACCCAGAGGAATACAGAAATCATCAACAATATCACTAATATCCCATGCAAGTAAAATTTTACTAAAAATAATTCAAAAATGATTGCAGCAGTGCATCAACAAGGAGCTATCAGGAATTCAAGCCGGATTCAGAAGAGGATGTAGAATGAGTAATATCACTGCTGATGTCAGACAGACTGAAAGTAAAGTTCTTTATTTTCTTGGCTGAAAGTAGAAATGTGTTTACCTGTGTTTTATTGACTACAGAAAGGCATTCGACTGTAAGTCATAACAAACTATGGATAATATGAAGAATGGTTATTCCAGAACACTTAATTGTGCTCATGAGGAGCTTGTACATATACTAATAGGCATTTGTTCCAATAGAACAAGGGGATACTCAGTGGTTTAAAAACTGTAAAGTTAGGCATCAGGGTTGTATCCTTCCACCATATTTATTCAGTGTGCATACTAAGCAAATAATATGTGAAGCTAGATTATTTGAAGAAGAATGTGGCATCACGATTGGAGGAAAGGCAGAGATGATGATGTGAAGAGATGGAGCGGTTGGGGACTTTGGACACAGAGAGGGAGGGGGGCTGTGTGCTGGCGACCAGGGGGCAGGCTTGTAGAGTATACCCTTTGGTT